TTTGTTATCTTCATACTAAATATTGTACACTATATAAATCTGTAAATACACCACAGAAAATTATGAAATAAAAATTTGTGAAAAAACTTCTCGATATATATATATAACCTTTACTTTCGTTTCAGATCATACTGATACACAACGTACTACGGCGATACCATTCAAATTCGAAAAAAAATCAAAAAATAAACACTGACACGATCGCACAAAGCGCGGACATCAATCGTGTCAAGACCCCGAAGGTACAGAGAGAAGTCGTTCAAAAATTATAACTATTCCTCTACATGGCTATAATTTCTTCAATGTAAAATTTTCCATGGCAAGTACTCTATTTCAACTTATATTTAGGTTTAAGACATCAACTAATATTATTGATGCTACTTGATAAAGATTGAGTCAGTAACATTCGAAATATCCTAGGTTATCATAGTAACTTATCCACAACCACACCTACACCTACCCACACCCATACCCAGCCACACCCTCAAAATACGAAGGCTATCTACACTGTCTTTCACCATATACGATGGTATTTTGGCGTATTATACGATTTTGTATCACGATCGTATTTCATGATCATTAGCAAAGCCAACAGCAATAACACACCAAGATGATCATTGCTAATAAATCAAAAAGCAAAACATCGAAGAGAATTTACAACAGGAAAAAATCATATAAATATGTTTGGTAGCAAAGAGTCCAATCTATCGATGCTAACAGAAAACAAATAAAGCTTAAAGCTGCTATATAAAATTAGCTCTTATTTAATTTGATGGAAAGACTTCGGTGTTATAATTGACTTAGATCTGTGACACACATTATATATTGTAAATCTGAGCTGTTGAAAGTAGAATATCGACGTAGATGTGAATGCGAAAGAAAATCTTAGATCCACTGACACTCACACTCCGCACTCATTCTCTTAGGATCTTTTTAAGTAGACAGAAAGTTAAAACTATCTGGTGAGTCCTTTAGCAAATGCACATTCACACTGATCCCAAACATATACTATGACTTTGTTCGTGGGTTGTTGACATAATGAGAAAAATAAAAAATTTGATTTTATTAAGTGCATGAATAATTTTTGGATATGGCAGAAGTCTGAAGTCCCAAGGACTTCTTTACTTGTAACCAAAATTGTACCGTGTCTTTTTTGTCTGATTGATTTATCAACGCTTCAACCAGTGTTGCAGAAGAATGACTTCAAGCGATCCCAATAGCAGTTGTTCAACGTGATATAGAATCAAAGGTAGGGAGAGTATGCTCACAAGGTCCGCACTTTGCTTAGAATTTACAGCGCTAATAAGTGGCATGCCTTTTGCAACTGTTTTTGTTGCAGCACAAAACATAATAGCGATCGTATCTTCTTTAGAAAAGCGCCAACGTTCAATCAATGTCAGTTTTTTGGGTTCATCATCTAGTAGCAATGATTGTTCGTTCTGGTTTTTTGCTCTTCGTAGACCAAGGAACACATTAGGCATTCTTGCCAGGAACATAGCCAAAAGCGAAAATATGATGTAGAAAGTGGCATTTAGTCCAATAACGATGAAAAAATCTGAGGTGTGCACTGAATTCAACAATCCGCTGCCAAAAAAGTCAGACAATACCGACCAAAGTATCAATAACAAAGCGGTACTATTCAGCTCTGTAAAATGAAACGTTGTTTTTGCCCACAGTACTTTTTCTGTCCAGATATGATGGATTATTTGTCCGATAATTAATGGAATCAACACAGTCAAACCTAGATTGATTAAAGCGCGAACATAATCGTTAACGTCGTATGGCTGTTGTAAAACGTCCAAGCTATGATTTCGCATAAATAACCAAATGAGACATGGTGATATAAATACACCGAGAATATTACCGAGAATGGCATTTACTAAAGCACCAGATTCATTACCGCCTGCGTTTTTGGTCATCACAACCTAATATTGAAACAAAAATGCTAACCTATCATTCAATAGAATACCGAAATGAGAATCAACCAATAGAAAAACAGCGAACTTTTCATATTTTAAGCACACTTTGATGGAAACAAATCTCTAAAAAGTTACAGAAGTTTCACCTAGCTAGAAATCTTGTATGAGATCCTCGAAGTATGACAAGCATTCAGAAAACTCGATCGAAATCTAATAAAATCTAAGAACATCGGAAATAATAAACAAAAATATTCTTTGGTGAAAGTCCCTATTAGATGACTATTTTGTGGTTCCTGTAGCTCAAATAAGGGTGTGAACTTGAGTTCGGATCTAGTTTTTCTCTCGACTCACGCTTACACTCTTTCATCCCACTGAGTTGACCCTCTTACTTGTTACGTGAAATGAAGCTGTCTGGACATAGTCTATGATCTCACACAGAAAATATCCAATGATCAGATATTTTTATCAAAATGAAATGATAACCCACAATCGGCAGAATATATGGTAAAAGTAATTCTTTCGTAAGAGTGTAATAGTGTTTAGAAAATAAAACTCTAGTAAAAAAGTATTGAACTCAGAGATATTTCCAACTTAGCATAGCAACTATATTTCCAAAATTGAAATCTCGTCAATTACTCATCTATTTGAATTGAAACTTCTAGTGTTGTCCTAACTCAGACGTCCATATCTACTGTAAAATTGTCAATTAAATTCGAGTAATAAAAAGAAGCGAACAGATCATAACATAGGCGTTAAGCCTCCTAGAAAGACTTCTAGAGAAGGAACGCATAAAGAGAAGTTTATTAAAATTCAAAGCCAGTCATCGCATTTGATTAGGGACTTTCTTTAGTAGGAAAACGAGATAAGTTCTAGCAGAATCATTTTGATGTTTGCCGAAGACTTCCAATGAACATACGCAAAATTTACATTCAATTGTTTTGATCTCTTACATTGCTAGATATTGTTGTTGACGTACAAGACATTATGACGATTCCAGCAACTAGAACCTTATTCATTGATGATTTAGCAAGTAATAGGCAAATACCATAAACTGTGAATGGAATTAAAACTAAGCTAAAAAGTTGAATAAATAAATGCATACGAAAATAGAATATGTCATGTTTAAGCTCGCTAGTTTTTAATCCAAGACCGCTAAGTAGAAAAATGATGATGACGCAACCCCATCCAATGGTATATTCGGCACGAATCGGTCCACCGGATCTTGCCAATGGAGGATATGCATAGGCACATGTCATTACAATCAATAGGCCTAAGAAGAACCAAAATTGCTTCAATAATCGAATAAGTGTATTCAAGTAATTTCGACAATCTTTCTTAGCATAGATTGAATGAAATTCATCCTTGCCATCAGCTGACACGGTATATGTGAAGATGGTTTCTATTTGTTCGTAATTTTCTATTTGAGTTTTTTCAGCATTGGATAAATCGCCAGAAACAATAAGCACAATATGTGCTTGCTGCATATTTTTCTTTAGAAAACTGTCCAACGCACTGAAACAATTGAATATTCGTTCTTTTTGAAGCACTTTTTGAACAGTCAGTGAAGTCTGTATTTTGTTATATGTTAGGTCAAGTCCAATCAGAACGTATGGTGATTGAGAGTACTTCTGTGGCAGTATATTTTGCTCCATAATAATCTGAAATACAGTGAAACTTTTGTTAATAAAACAAACTTGCCCTAATCGGCATCTTTTCAAAAAATATTCTCGTCAAGTGAGTTTTAACTTTGTTTAATTTGCTGCACTAGAACAGAAATGGGCAATGTACTCGAAGTACTCGTACTCGTACTCGAAGGTTGGAACTCCAACATATACTCGATGGTACTATATTGAACAGTTTCAAAGCCTATAGGACTCTTTCGGTTAAGAGTTAATATGCGTTGTGTTTGAAAATGGAGCGAATCGCTGAGGACTTCTTCTCAGTCGATCAAGAAATTTCTGAAGATTTCTTATCTTTGTTTCAACTATTTAACAAAGTTTCTATAATAAATCAGAGAGAACAATATGCTAGTACCGCTCTTCTTGCGCCCACTATTTCTGATATCCTGTTTGTTTTCGAGCTTGAATTTAGCTCTTCTATTTTAATTCTCGTGCTTTCATATGAAACTCTTATTGCATCAATTAAACCTAACCTTAGTGGATTTCTTCTTTATTTTGAAACTGATGTACTTTTCAATTCTACCTCTATATGAGAATGGTTTCCAGATGTAATTTTCTTTTTGATTTTGTCACTTTCGAGTCACATTTTAAATTAGTATTCCTTCTAAACCTTCATACTGTTGTAAAAGTACATCTTTTTGAAAAGATTCTTAGTGATTTGAACCGTCGTTTTCTAAATTATAGTCTTCAATGTGCCATAATATTTGAGCCGTTGCGTCAAACACTAGTGAACCAAGTGGTTCTGATGTTACAGCAAAGAGAAATGGATCGTTTGGGAAAAGATAGCGTCGTTTTCCTCATATTAACTAATTGAAAAAGTTGACTCGACAAAAAGTCGAAAATTTTAATCGAGCGTGATGCCTTTTTCTATGAAGAATATTCTGAAGATAATTTACTTTTTTCTCAAAACAAATTTACCTATGTCTATGTTAACTTGGTTAAAATACTTGATAATACCAGTTACAGAGACTCCCATAGAACGCGTTTTTTTACTCAGAATTAGGCATGTAGCGAACCCGAACTTTAGTTCGGAGTTCGGACCGAACGGTTCGGGTTCGGGTTCGCTATTCTCTTTCTCGTAGAGAAGAGTCTT